CTTGTTACTAAAAGCGAGGCACTTGTTCCTAGTAGCTTCTTGTTACTACTAGTAAGGCACTTGTTACTAAAAGCGAGGCACTTGTTCCTAGTAGCTTCTTGTTATGTTTGTTTCGTGCTGCAGGTACCAAATGGAGCACCCTGAGAATAAGCCTCAGCAATACATGAAGGCGTGCCCAATGTGATTCCGACTAGGGCCAACCGGCAAGAGTGGCAAGTGGCTTGCGCTCCCAGGTTGAGCTATCCAAAAAGGAAGGTGAACTTTATGGTCTTGGTTTTCGGCCGAGCTGCTTGGCAAGAGCTAGGTAGCAGCTAGCAGCTTGGTAGCTTGAGCAGCTTGTTTGCGAGCTTCATGAGCTGTGCCTCGAGGCTCCGATGGCCTCGAGTGTTTAGTGGTTGAGGAGAGGGCGAGAGGCTGATACGGTGACGTCGGCTGGCCAAACGCAAACCTTCAGAGTTTGAACTTCGGAGCGCAATGGCCTCCAACCTACTAGCGACAGCCTCCAACCTACTTGCGATGGCCTCCAGCCTACTTGCAATGGCCTCCAACCTACTAGCGACGGCCTCCAACCTAATAGCAAACTATATTAGACATTTTTTCATTTTCTTTTTCTTTGTTTCTGCGGCTGGATGAGACGCACAAATCAAAAGAAGTGCACTATCACAGTGCACTAAACAGCTGAGACCGGCTGTGAACACGTTTGGCTCAAGAAAACAAGACCGCTTTCTGTCAACCATGGGTTATGAGCCCAACGGGGTCTGAGCTTGACAGCTCCCAGAGCTCGTGTGGTCGTGTGGGACTCACGCCATGACATCTTTGCTGAGCAGGAGGAGATCTTCAAGCAAGGAGCGGCAACAAGCGGCGGACGAGCGGCAGACCCAGGCACAGAGAACACAGAGTGCGGAGCCAAGCTCGAGGAGACCGGCCTTGGTGAAGAGCACGAGACACCACGGTCGAGCAGACTCCAAGGACGGAGCCGAGGGCTGCTGTGACTGATGGGGGCCAAGCTATGTTGAAACCTCCTCCAGGGGCCTTGTCTCTGGGCGCAGCCGGTCTTGGACAAGGTCAGCTTCGGGATCAACTGCGTGGAGGTTGGGCGATGCTTCAAGGACCCTATCCACAAGGCTACCCCGTTGTGTCTGCCGCCCGGGTGCTCAAGGTCAAATGCCTATTCTCCGAATACGTCGTGAACGTGAGGGTGAACAGTTGGTGGAAGCCGCTTCATGCCAATCGAGGGTGGATCTCAACAAGTTGAACGAGAACGCGAACAAGGGGGACCTTAATGCGGTCGTGAACAGCTGTGTCGAGCTCTATGTCGAGGCAACAATCGCCTACTAATCCTGGTCTGCGGAAAAGATCAAAAAGACCATGACTAACAGCGTTTTGCTGAAGGTGTGCGACAGCTGCTTGGGTGGCAATCCGCTTTCAGATGCTTCGTGCAAGACGGCGGCGGAGAATGGTGGAGGATCGCAAGGGGATGGGAAGCCACAGGTATTGGAATCTGGTGGACCAAGGCAGCCTCTAGGTGATGGGACACGTGCAGTTCCAACCTCTTCGTCGACGACAACAAATGTCGGGCGTTGAGGATGGCTACCAAGTAGCCGAGGACAGCTGTTGCACGGTCCCGGACAACATCAAGTCTGAGGCCGTGGTGTCGCGCAAGTTGAGTGCGACGCATTTGTTGTTCACCCTCTTCGTCAAGTTTCAACCTGGCGGACAGGGTGAGAGGGTCATACGGGCTCCATGGTGGAGATGGTGCAGAGATGGTGGAACCGGGCTCAGGAGTTGGCGGTGATGTTGCCAGACCCCATCATCTTGACTCAATCTCGACTCAACCCTCAAACACCGTTCCCAAATCACAAACACATGCAGGCGGTATATCGGCTGTTGGTATGTCGACAACAACTATACCAGACCAAGTCTGGACTCGATCATGACCTTTGCGGAGCTGCTGCAGGCCGAGACCGAAGAGCAGGCGTTAGGAGCTGGAGGCGCAGGAACTGGGGGAACGGGAAAGACGTCCGTTCCTTTTGTGAAGGTGGCGGCCTTGGGTACTTCAACGACGGCGACGCAGGAGTCCAAGAACGTGGGGTTTGAGGGGTGACTGCTTGGCTTCGGCTTTCCCGAAGCGTTGCTGTCCGCGTGTGAAAGAGGAGCCTGGCCCAGGGAGGCAAATCGCAACCGGCCTCTCCGGAGAAGCTCAAGTCCAAGAAGGCTTGAAGGAGGAACAATGTGGTGGTCCGAAGAAGAAGACTGCGGCGGACTCCGTAGGTGCCATTCAGAACCTGGTTGGAGAGGCGGCGGCGCTGTTGAAATGCTTGGCGAGTGCGAAGATCAAGGCCATCGCTACGGTTCCGATTGTGTGTTCTTTTTTTTCTAATAGCAATGGCCTCAGTTACACCCTCCAACCTACTAGCAAACTATATTTATTTGACCAGTCTTCCTTCACTGTTTTCATGGTTTCTATTAGCAGTGGCCTCCAACCTACTAGCGATGGCCTCCAACCTACTAGCGAGGGCCTCCGCCCTAACAGCAGCCTCCGACGTAATAGCGAACATTTTTCGTTTCTAGTAGCAATGGCCTCCAATTGTGACAGCCCCCAACCTAATAGCGGCAAACTGTACCAGGCCTTTCTTCTTCTTTGTTCTTTGTTTCTAATAGGAATGGCCTCCAACCTACTAGCGATGGAATAGCAAACAATTTTAAATTTCTTACCTTTTGGATTCGTTGTTGTAATGGCAATGGCCTCCAACCTACTAGCGACGGCCTCCAACCTAATAGCAAACCATATTAAACGTTTCTTCTTGTTATTGTTTCTTTCTTGTGTAGCAATGGCCTCAGCCTACTAGTGACGGCCTCCAACCTAATAGCAAACTATATTAAATGTTTCCTTCTTGTCCTTTTTTTGTTTCTAATAGCACTGGTTTTCAACCTGCTGGCTATGGCCTTCAAGCTAGTAGCAAACTATTTTAGGCCTTTCTTCGTGTTTTGTTTCTTTGTGGCTTCCAACCTAGAAGCGACGGACTCCAACCTAATAGGAAACTATATTGAACCGTTCTTCCTTTTCTTTTTCTTTCTTTCTTTCTTTCTAAAAGCAATGGCCTCCAACCTACTAGCGACGGCCTCCAACCTAATAGCAAATTATAGTACACCTTTCTTCCTTTTCTTTTGATCTAGTAGCAATGGCCTCCAACCTACTAGCGATGACCTCCAAGCTAGTCGCAATCTATATTTGGAATTTATATCTTTTCAGTTTTGTTCGTTTACGATAAGCCTCCAACATAATAGCGCATTATATTGGACCGTTATTCTTTCTTCGTTTCTAGTAGCAATGGCCTCCAACCTACGAACATATACATTAGACTTTTCTTCTTTTTCCCTTTCTTTGTTTCTAATAGCATTGGCCTCCAAACTACTGGCGACGGCTTTATATTAAACCTTTCTGCGCGTTCTTTTTTGTTTCTATCACCACCGACTAGCGACGGCTTCAACCTAATAGCAAACTATATTGGACCAAGCATCTTTTTCGTTTCTGATAGCAATGGCGTCCAACCTACTAGCGGCGGCCCCCACCTAACGGCAATCTATATTAGACCATTCTTGCACCCTTTTCTTTGTTCTTTGTTTCTAGTAGCAATGGTCTTTAACCTACTAGCAATGGCCTCAAGCCTACTAGCGACGGCCCGCTAACCTAACAGCAAACTCTTTTAGATGTTTCTTTCTTTTCTTTGTTCCTTGCTTCTAAAAGGAATGGCCTCCAACCTACTAGCGATTGCCTTTTTCATCTGATAGCAAACTACATTAGACCTCTCTTCCTTTTCTTTTTTGTTTCTACGCCTCCAACCAACCTAATAGCAAACCATTGTAGCGCTTCCTTCCCCTTCCTTTGTGTTTGCTTCCGATAGCAATGGCCTCTGCAACGGCTTCCAACCGAATAGCAGCTATATTAGTCCTTTCTTCCTTATCTTTTTTCTTTGTTTCTAAAAGCAATGGCCTCCATTCTACTAGCGATGGCAAACCTAATAGCAACATACAATTGACCATTCTTCCTTTTCCTATTTGTTTCTTTCTAATGGCAATGACCTCCAACCTACTAGAGATGGCCATATTAGAGATTGCATCATGTATTCGGTTGTTTCTATAGCAATGGCATCCAATCTACTTGGGCCTCAGGCCTAATAGCAAAACTATATTAGACCCTTTTTTCATTTTCATTTTTCCAACCTACTAGCAAATACTATTCTACTAGCGATGGCCTCCAACCTACTAGCGATGGCCTCCAACCTAAACGCAAACTATCTTAAAACTGTTGTCTTTTTCTTTTTTTACTTCCTTTCGACAGAAATAGCCATGGCTTCCAACCTACTAGCGGAGGCCTCCAACCTACTTAGTGATGGCCTCCAGCCTACTTAGTGATAGCCTCCAACCTAGTAGCAAACTATATTTGATTCTTTTTTGTTTCCTTTTTTCTTTGTCTAATAACGATGGCCTCCAACCTAATAGCGATGGCCGCTTAACGCAAATCTTCAGAGTTTGACGCTGCACTTGCCAGTGAAGGATTTGGTTCCGTTTTTTCGGTTTTCCTAGGCTGTGCCCTTTTCATCTTCTGACTCCACAATGCAGTGATTGTTTTCCGCCATCGACGTAGCGAATTATTGTCTTCAGAAACAATAAGCTACTAGGAACAAGTGCATCGCTACTAGTAACAAGTGCCTTACTAGTAGCAACAAGGACGCTATTAGAAACAATAATTTATGAATCAATTTTACTGCCTGCCATTGCACGTGAGGCACGGCCCTTCTGTCATTGCAAAGCCCTTGGCAACAAAGCGACTGAACGGCGTAAACAAAAAACTTCCAACAGTCCATCCCCTTAACCAAGCAGGACAAGAAACAACACCTGAAAACTAATCAGATCTCAGTAGAGTCCTCAGCAACACTCTTGAAATGCTTTGAGTCATGACGGTCAGCGTGCCCAGTGGTTGAGCGCCGACACCCGTTCCTAAAGATCCGTGCATTCCGGCTTCAACACTTTCTCGACCTCACCAAACGGCCCCGGCCACACCACTCCCTGCCCTTCTTGGGTAGGCAAACGTCAAGTTCGAAATCCAGAAGCGAAGCAGAGCGAAGCAGAGCGAAGCAGAGCGAAGCAGAGCGAAGCAGAGAGACGAGCCCAGCCTGTTCCCAACTCCCCCCGGCGGTCTCGGCGTTGTCTTTCCCACAGCAAGAGGCGTGGAGGCCAGGGAAGGTGGGCAAGGATGAGGTTTCCACCCTGATGTCCCAGGCGCCGCCCCGCTAAGCTTGGGCTAAAACAGCATTCAAAGCAAGATTAATTACAAGTACAAAAGAACATTAACAGCATAGACCTCAAACCATTTCAGCAGGAATCTTTGCGTCAACTCCTTGAATTCCAATGTTGGTGGGCGAATAGTTATATAAATATTGCCTCCAGCTGTTTGGGAACGGTAAACAACACAATTTTCGAACAGGATGATATCAAGTTTGAAGCGGGCTGTCACATTCACCACAAGATAGCGTAGCGGCGCTGTGAGCGATCGGTGTTGGACCTCGAGGGCATGTGTCAAGAGTTCCATGAGGGTTTATTTTGTGTTTAGACAGGAATTGGCAGTGTGTTCTTATCTCATTTTTACCATCATCACGAAAGGTAGCCTCGGCTACCTAAGTTCTCCTTGCTTTAGCAAAATGATGTAGAGGTGGTGGAAGTCTACACTGCTTGAATTCGATGATTCAAGTATTTATTCAGGGGCTTATGCCCAACAGCGGGCGAGCAGGGTGTTCAGTGGAGAAAGGCAGGTGGAGGGGCAAGAGGAAAGGGTGGGTGTTGTGGTTGTGGTTGTTGTTGTTGTTGTTGTTGTGGTTGTTGCCAGACACAGCAAATGCAAATAATGCAAGGCAACTTGGACGGCATAACTCGCACCTAGGGGCAATCTTGAGCCATCTTGAAGGAAGGGGTACTTTTACAAGCATGTTACAAAAACAGTTTGAACATCATTACTTTTTCAAAAACAGTTTTCTTAAACACGCTGGGTTTTTCAATCGATGTTTTCTTGCGTGCTTTTTGGACGGTCTCCTGGCCCCATGTTGATCTCAATCCCGGCGCAGCCCCAGCTCCAGAGCACACTGAACAAAATGTCACATGTCAATCCGTGAGAAATGTCTCCTCATCCTTTTCTCCCACTTGTGATCGGCAGTTTGTTTGCCGCCTTGTCTGAGTTGTTTCCCGTGTCTCCATCCGTGCCTCCCCATGTCTCCCTGTACTCTTCTTCTTCGGATTCCCCGCTGTAGTTGCCTTCCCGCATATCTCCGTCTAACCTCCGTGTCAAGGGGGGTAGCCTTCGTGATCAGAACAAGAAGCAGGTTCAATGAACATTGCGGTCAGATTTCCAAAACATTGCGTTGATGAGTCAATGAAGCTTTGCACTTTACACCTATGTTTTCCTTCTGGACCCATTCACGGAGAGGTGTTTGTTGGATGCGCTCGCAGTCACTGGAATCACTGGAAGCTCTCATGGATTTGTTTGTGCATTGTTTGATTTTTTTGGTCTCAGATGTTTTCTTTTAGAGTTAGCTACTATTTGGTGTCTAGGCCGGTGTAATTTGTTTTTCACAAGAACACCTATAGACCTTGAATCCTACACAATGTTCTGGACATTTGCGGAGAGCCAGCTGCAAAACAACTATTGTGAGAGAAGTGGCAGGCCTATTGATAAGAAGTATCAGAAAGGCCAAGGGGCCAAACCGTGAACCAGCAAAGGCCTTTGGTGAGTTCAGCGTTGCAGCAAAAACAGATGGGGATAGCAATGGCAACATGGTTGATAAACCACCAGCAGTTCATCAAATGGGACTCTCTAAAACTGACTTGATTGTGTGGCTTGGATTAAAGGGGTGTCTACGGCCCACGTGCTCATGAAGGAAGTTAACCACCAACACTTCTTTACATTTGGGTGAATTTTCGAGGCTGTTGCGGCTCGGATTAACTAGGGGAGGTGTATTTATCATTATATCAAGATCATTTGTAGAAAGGTTTTTACATCATAAAATCCAAGTGTTTAGTCAGTTTGACATTTGAAAACCGTACTGTGGCAAAATAATTGAACATCAGAGCATGACAGATTGTTTTTTAACGCCCGGCAAACACATGGTAAAAGAAACAAACATAGTAGTCTTGAGTTTCAAAAAAAATGGTGACGAGATAGAACAATGCCCAACTGTGCATTAGGAAATTGCTAACAAAAAAGTTGCATATATTCAACATTTTGGAAGTCGAGAACCACCAGTTCAGGAGGAATTGGTGACGCTATGACTGAGAAACCTAAAACAACTTTATGATCAAGGGTGAATTGTCCGGCACAAAATGTTGGGGAAGGGTGCAAGATAGCATTTGTACACCCAAGTGATAAAGTATCACTGTTTTTAGAGGGATACGCCTTGACAATTACTTAGTTTGTTTGATTCTTGTTGCCCCAATATTTGGCAAAAAACACATTTTGGTAGTTGCCCACACACTGGAGGATAAGGTTTGATGATATGTTTAAGCAATGCTCGCGATTGCTCACACTGCGCAAAGAAATTGAGACACACTATGCATTATAGTGACCAATATGTTGGACAATTTGTTATCACATTCAATATAAAAAGGCTTTGCTGCTATCAAGAGTACCAAGTTTCTAGGTTCTAGATTTCTCCAGCCTCGTACACCTCCGAACAAACATTCACCAAATCTCCAGATTTAAACTCCAAACTCGGCCAATCTTTGGCTTACTAGTAACAAGTGCATCGCTACTAGTAACAAGTGCCTTACTAGTAGTAACAAGAAGCTAC